TGTGTGTGTGTGTGTGTGTGTGTGTGTCCTTGTAAATGTACAGTAGTGTTTTTGTACCTCACGTTTTCATCTTTCGGGCTGACGGGACCTCGATTTACTGGCTCTCGAAGTGTTCAATTTCTTTATGACAGCTTCAAGGGAGATGTTGCGATTTTCTTTGGTTGTCGAATGACGTCCTATTCGTTGGTCGGCCCTTTTTCTTCTGTGCGTGCGTGTGTGTGTGTGTGTGTGTGTGTGTGTGTGTGTGTGAGAGAGAGAGAGAGACGTGGGACGTCTTGCGGTCGCCCGATGTTCACTGTCAATCGTACGAATTTATGGTATGCATGTGTTAGCCTGTAAGTGGCCCAACCTGTATTTTTGTCTCCCCTCTCGTTCCTCAGGTGGAAGACACAACTATATCTAGGTATCATTCACGTGCACCCACCTGTATTTTTGTCCCCTCTCATGTCTCACCTATCATCGCTCTAGACGGTGTTTATTTGAACACTATGCCAGGCGATCTTTCTCGCCGTTGTATTGATTGTCTTGCCATTGCAAATCGTAAGCATCCTTCCTCGAGTACTCAGCCGACCCGTTATTTTGAATCCGCCACGCAGCGGCTCAATACTCGACAGCCTGAAAGCTTGGTTGGCTGGATGCCCTGTAAGCAGCTGCTAAACTTCTCCTGCAGCTTTTCCACTTACCTTCTCCTTACCTGCTGACTCGACAGCCAAAGGATGATGCTCTGACATCCGTGCAGTATCTCGAGCAAACACATTTTTTGCGATAGCCGTCAGTATAGAATGTCGTTGTATCCTGAGAAGCCGTGCAGGCTGTGGATCTATGCATAGATCCAGGATGACAAGCTGTGCTATTGTCCATTTGTCTGTCTGCCGATGGCGATCGTCTGCTGAGTCTGAACCAGTTTGATCATATCCTCCATTGTGTACTCGTCCACATACACTAGGACTTCGTCGACGGAATCTGGCCTTCATTCGGATTAGATGCGTTCTAGAAATTCAACGATTTGGAGAGCGTGCACAGAGAATTCCCGCATTGCGGTGGGACTATGTTTCGGTCGTCAATGACATTGGTGTCGAAGGAGGTTTATTTTTACACATTTGAGGAAATATTTATATTTTATGGAACAATATTTCAGCTGGTCCCTTTGATTCCCGCTTATCAAGCAGCGTAAACGGTCGCTATTTGCCGATGCCACACAGTTATCTACTCGTTTCCATGGCCAACGTGTTATGTGGGGCACACACACACACACACACACACACACACACACACACACACACACACACACACACACACACACACAGAGAGAAAGCTAGGGCACCATGTGTCTTTTCTCCTCGTGCTGTGATTGAATGATATTGTTTGACGGGATATATGAAATCCACTGTCACCAGCGTGTGCAGATCTCCCCAGTTATAGAACGGAGGCACATCTAAAAGAAGGAAAAAAAAAGGAAAGTACTCGATCTGGGGGTGTGCTCTTACCGCCATCGGGCTTGAAGGCTTTCACGTTGTTGATGATTCTTCCAGAATAAAAAAGATCAGATGAAGAAATCGGGGGAGTCTGTACTACTGTATAGAGCAGAGGCAATGTAACTTCCAGCTCCCTTCTTGACGGATGTGACGGATGGGTTTGATGACTAGATGGCCTGGTTAGGAAGCCCGTTGGCGCGCAAATCGGGAAGCCCGTTGTGAGAGGTGAGGAGGTGGTTCATGCGTGATGACGAGATGGCCTGATAAGGAAGCCCGTTGGCGCGCATTTGGAGAGAACGAGAGAGTTTTCAGAAGTGCGCACTCGTACACTGTATCTCGGACTTTAACTTGTACTTCGACGTGACTTGTATCTGGCCCTTGTTCTGGCCAGAGACGTTCAGAAAAGTACTACATACGCCAGTGAGGCCTCTTTTTTTTTTTTTTTTCGAAATCTGGAGAACATGTGCTTGTCTTCGTGTGCTTGTCTTCGTTTTATGATTCGCTTAATGCTTCTGATTGCCAAATTACGTCCGGCAGTAGGGTGAGCAATTCAATTTACGAGTAATTGAGTTTTGTTGCCAGAGTTGGGGTTCCCGGTTCTTTTCCTTCTATCGTGTTCACCCGACTACAGCGCGAAGTCATTATATTGCTGTGTACTACGGTAGTCTGAACAAAAAATGGTCCCGATACAGCTATGTACTCACTGTGCGTTCTATTCGGGTGAAGACGGAAGTCTCGTTTCTTGTCGCCCGTCTCTGCATCCTCCTCCTCCACATGTTCTCTGCAGGGACCCGACTGCTACTCTCTTGCTGTTCTCTTTTTTTATCCGCCCTCAATCGTGTCCCTGCCCGTGCTATTTTTGCTGTTTTTTCTGTATCTGTCGTCTTTCATCCCGCTCGCTTTCGTTCTATTCACTTGTGTTTTTCCGACTCACCCTATTTTGCGTCCTTCTGCTTTGTTCTTGCTCGCCTCTGTCCAAACTCTGAAGTGCTTTTTTTTTTTTTTTTTTTTTTTTTTTTTTTTAAGGACTGCGCCGCACTCTGCTGCAGTGCAATACAAATTGTGGGTTTATGTTGAACGAAATCAGAAAACGAGAAGACCCTTCATCCAGTATTTCAATTTCACTTGTCCCTCTCCTCTTTTTTCTTTTACCATGCCGTCGTCGTTTCCTCTGCAGCTGCCTCCTGGATTTGACTCGTTTGCTATTCTGTCCTTGCTCCGCTTGTCTCCCTCCCCGTTCTCTTGTCTGCTGTTCTCCTCCCCCCCCCCTTTTCTCTCTCCGTCCCTGTGTTCTTTTTCTCTCCTGTTGCTTCCGTTACTGGCTCTGTCAATTTGTTGTTTGTCCGGTGTCTGCGCCCTGTGCTTCGCTTTTCAGGCCGATTGCTCTCGGAAATAGAAAAGAAAAGGGTGAGTGGGCTAGCTGCTCGGCTTTCCTGAGTGTCTGGTTCGGTGGTTGGCTCCCTCTTTTCTTCAATCGATCTGTTCAGCTTCCCGGCTCCCTTGTTTCTCGCCCCTTCCCCCCCCTTTCTCCTGCGTTGTTCTCCTCGATTTTTTATCTCCTCCTGCTCCTGCAGCTGTTGCTGGTTCTATGAACTTGTTTCGTTTGCCCGTTTTTTTGTCTTGTGTGCTTTACTCTGTTCTCCGATTGCTCGGGAACGGAAATGCGCGATCGCGAGGTCCTTTTCCTGATCGTCTGGCTCGGTGGCTGGCTCGGTGGTTGGCTCGGTGGATGGCTTTCTGGTTGGCGGGAGGGGTGGACCTGCGTTGACGCAGAAGCTTGGTCAGGAGCTGGATCCGAAGTGCGAGAGGATGTGCTTGAGGCCTCCAACGCAGGAGGACGTAGACGCGATCGTGAGAAGAGATAACAGCTTCGCGACCAAACGGTCGCTAACGGAGGAGCAGTTCGCGCACTTTGTCCGGGAGGTGCTTAAGCGTATCGCCATCGAAAGGGGCAAACGCGTCGGCTTGTTCGTGGTGGGAGGTATTGCCGTTGTGCAGGTAGCCAAAGGTGTGTTGAAAAGAGTGCCCATATTTGGACCCCCTGTCGGCCTCTTCGTCAGCATTCTCTGCCCCACTAGCATCGTCGGACCGGCGCTCGGGGTTGCTGGGGCTGTGTATTTCTCATAATTTGTTCGATTTAGATGTTAGATAGATGTTTTGCCTCTTTCATCGGTCTCCTCTTATACTAGTCACTCTCACATGGACCAGGGAGGCAATCGAGAATGAGGCTGACTGCAGTTGAGCACGCCTATGGATATATGATTCCTTCGTTCTGCACATAATCGTGGCGCTAAGTGTGAATATGATCTCACCGGCTGCCCCGCCGCACACGCTTCAGATTCTGACGGAGGGGAAGGAAGGATAATCGGGGCAAAAAGGAAAGATGACGGGGAAGGGAAATGATTATGTGTAGATGCCTCTCTCGCTCTCTCGCTCTCTCGCTCTCTCTCTCTCTCTCTCTCTCCGGTCGTAAACTTTTCTTTCTGTGGGTGCTTCCTTTAGCATTTCACCTCCTTGCTTGTCACTCCTCCCCTCTTTCTTCTTATCTCGTCTTCTTTGATGCGCGTGCTTTTGCAGCGCTCCCGCTCTCGTATGTGGGTGAATTTCTATTCCTTGCCTTGCCCTCTTCCTGTTGGATTATGGGTGGTTCGTACGTCCGTTTTTTAATCTTCGGTCGATCTGTTCAGCTTCGGCGATTGAAGTTTTGTCCGGGAGAGAGAGAGAGAGAGAGAGAGAGAGAGAGAGAGAGAGAGAGAGTACGGAAAGAAGGTAGGCGGCACGGGATGGGTAGAAGGGGAGGGAGCCAGAGAGCGGGGGGGGTGCACGCAACAGACACACAGACACAGAGAGAGAGAGAGAGAGAGAGAGAGAGAGAGAGAGAGAGAGAGAGAGAGAGAGAGAGAGAGAGAGAGAGAGATCCTGACAGTGTACATAGCCTAGGAGCCGATCTGAATGAATGCATCGTTTCAGTTTAGTGGCGGTGGTTTTTGCCGTGTTCAGATGAATGAAGGAGAGCTGGTGGGATGTTGAGTAGCAGGGGGCGTAGTAACCATGGGGCATCCCGGCATATTACTTGAAGAGGAATAGTAAACCGAGTCGCAAAAGGTCCTTAATGAGGTCCTGTCATAAACCGAGAGGTAAGGCCCTCTAGCGGAGGTTTAGGCTTGGTTTCGAGTATTTTTCAACTTGGCCACAGTGGGGCCATGAGATGTTCAGATTGGAAGGCAGGAACCAGAGTGTGCTCGAACCCAAGTCTAAACCCCTGCTAGTGGGACTTAGCCCCGGGCTATGGAAATGTCAGTCTATTGCAGCTGTGTAGTCTTCTCCCACATCAGTCGTGCCATTGTTGATGGGATTCGTGAAAGAGAAAAAAAGCTTTTCAATTGAAATGTCAACGTGTGGTGGATCTTGAGGCTCGGCTCCTTTTTTTTTTTTTTTTTTTTTTTATAAAGAAAGCTGCCTTCTCCTCGTCGGGGGACAACCATATATTTTTCTCTCACCTCACGTTCTGCCATGTCATGGAACATATCTTTCTTTTCACTGCCTACAACTACTCCTAAGGCTATACAGTGGAACCCTGCAAGCATAGCTTTCTACCTCTCTTCGGTGAAGGGAGATTACATCTCTCGGTGGAGAGGGGTAGCGGCATGTGTGCCCCTTTTCTCTACCGTTTAGGGTGCAGGGTCGGGGCTGCTGGTGGGGGCCGAGCATTTGTCATCTTCCGTCGTTTTGTTCTTGGACGTCTTCACATCTTTTTTTTGGGGGGGGGGATTTTCGAAATGCCCCTCAGACTTCCATTTATTTGCTGTGTGCCCCTCCAACTGCTGACTTACCCTGTTGTGCCCGTGGGGCCTCTGAAGTTTCCTGCAGGCCCCTGTCAGTGAGGGGTGCAACTTTCCAGCACGCCCCTGTGGCCGTTGGTGCCCCTGTGGCCGTTGGTGCCCCTGTGGCCGTTGGTGCCACTCGTGGCCGTGCCGCAGAGGCATACTGGAAATTAAAAACCCGTACTGGTAGGGGCATATTGAACATATTTCAGGCCCAAAATAAGAGAGGTGGTTTTTATTCGGAAACTTCAATCGTTGTCAGAGGGGCGTGCGTGACAAGGTAAGTCGGCCATTAGAGAGGCATACCGCAATTAAATGGAAGTCAGAGGGGCATTTCAAAAAAAATCCCTTTTTTTTTTTGGGAAAAACTACACTATGGAGGGGTCCCCTGCAAGCATAGCTACTTCTCATGGTGAAGGGGATATTGCATGTTGTCCAGTACTTGGCCCAGCTATGGGCCGCAGAAAAAGATAGAGTAGAAATGTTTCTAGGCGGAGGAATTTGGGTGCTCCTGTAGTGGCCCGTACGTTTCCTAAAATTTTGGCTTGTTAATGTGCACAACTTTGGGAAGTCACCAGTACTTGGCCCAGCTATTGGCTGCCAAAAAAAATAGAGTAGAAACGTTTCTACTCAGATGAATTTGGGCACTCCTGTAGTAGCCCGTACGTTTCCTAAAATGTGCCTACTCGGATGAATTTGGGCGCTCCTGTAGTAGCCCGTACGTTTCCTAATATCGTGGCGCGTTAACGGCCACTGACTCTAGGAAGTACTGGTGGTTTAAGGGGGCAGGGTTGGGGCTGCGAGTGGGGGTCTGGCTAAGGCAAAGACTGAGCATTTTGCCAGTACTGTGCCTCCCTTTTCATCGTCCCCCACCCCCCATTGAGTAGCAGCAGTGTCCAATGCCAACACTCTCCCACACACCACATACAATCCACTCACTCTCACATGTGACCGTTTTGTCTTGTATTTTTTGTGAACATATACTGATCTTGTTGTCACTGAACAAGTCCATCATGTCGCGACCCTCCCCACTCCCCCCTCCCTCCGGCCCCTTTTCAGATTTACAATGGGCAACGGCCTCGAGACTTTTTCAAAGGTACCTGATCCGTGAGATTTGATCTTAGGTCAGTATTTTACCGAGTAACGGACGCTGGGCCTGGTTTCCAGTACGTGATGCTCCCCACAAATAGATGTGAGCAAGTTTGGGGGAAAAAAAGAAAGAAGAAAGTCGGGCCCATCAAAAGAAGAAAGCGAGACCCATCAGATACGGCAGTTTTTCATGTGTCCAGAGTCCGTGAAATGGGTCTTGTGCTAGCAATGTCCATGTGGCTATTCTGCGAGAGTGACGGGATACTCAAACGAAGACCTTTTTCACTTTGCTCCACCCCACGGCGCTGAATTTGTAATAGTCCACGAGGCTCCACTGGCCACGGATTTTGTTATTCTTTGGGAACTTTTCCAGCCCCAACGCCGTCATCTCAGGGCCGTCACCAGATCGGATGGCTTCAGTGCAGTCACAGTTTGAAAACGACACCGTGCTGCGCTGTTCCCAAGTTTAGGACCCCTGAATCAGAAACGGATTGTGGGCAAACACGGCTGACCTTCTCTCCATGCGGCAACACGGGGCAGGTGGCCACCATTTCCACTTCCACTCCCCACACACTGAAACCCACAATGTCTACACACAAATCTCCCACTGCATCAACGACCCCACCTCCGGAGCTGGTACACCGACCCCGACTCAGCTACACATAACCACACCCAACTTTCACACCAGCAATCCCCACCTCCAGAGTTCACACCCCGCCCCCTCTTTGAACCTACACAACACCCTTGCTGCTGCACAGCTAAACACAACATTCAACCCGGCCTGTGAAGCCAGCACCAGCACTGCACAAAACAGCTCCTGTAACACCGCCATCCACATTGGCACTGCAGCCAGCAAGCGCCCCAAACTGCCTCCACAATGCACAAGCCCCTTCTCCAGCCATGCAAATCAACTGCACCTCCAGCTCACGCTCCAACACAAGACTGCACACGAATGATTCACGCAACCCAGAAAATCCCCGAAGAAAGAATCCAATTGAAAAGAAAAAAGAAAAAAGTTCTCAGAAAACAAAGACCCAGTAAGAACCAGCGCCGATCTGGCAGTGGAAGAATTATCCCTTGCACAACTGTGAAGCGCTCTCCGGCCCAATATGCCAACCACCACACAGGCCGCTGATATGCATCCACAAGCACAGCAGCTCATCATTGGCGCCCTGCAAACAACGAACAATTGCCTTGCACAACAACAGCCACTCCTCCCGCTCCCCCTCACCCTCCTAAACGCCACAACCAGTAGTCCCAGTCGTGCAAACCACCACACAACACAGCCGCCAGCCACCTCATACCACACCCATGAGCAAGCATGGTCTGTGCAGCCAACTGCAAGACCCAGAACCTGGCTGCCACAAAGTGAAAGTTTTCTCAGCATGCATGCATGCAGGCAGGCCAGCGAAGGCATGAACAGAAGCTACTAGAGTCAATCAGATTCACCACAAAATGCTGGTGCATGGCGACAGTCCCCCGTCCACATCGGATCTTCGTGGAGATGCCAGACTATATGCATCCCGTTTTCCTAATGCCCCTACACATATAGAAATCGCTAATGTGAGAATTGGCTGATCCGGACTGCCCGTGGCTACTGGCCCGATGGTTCGGGTTTCTGCACGATCAACCTTGATCTCTAAGATTGTGGGATGATCCGAGCCATCGGCCCGGTAGGACCGCAGGCGGCCTGGATCGTCGTGCCCGTTGAAAAGAGGGCCCATCGTAAAAGAATGGCACTGGCACCTGCTGGCATTGGCCTGTTGCAGGGCGGGTGGAGCTATGGGCCTGCTCGCGTTGAACGGCCCGTGACTTCGCGCCCTCAATAGAGTCCAAGGCTGTGCTGGAAGGCCCCTCCGAGGTAACTCCATCTCCGCCCACCTCCCCTCCACCTCCGCCCACCTCCCCTCTGCCTCCCCCCACCATCTCCTCTCTCTCTTTACCCCCCCACCTCTGCCACTTCTCCGCCTCCGCCGCCTCCGCCACCTCCCGCCATCACCTCCTGCCATCTGTCCCAACAACTCCTCTTTGCCTCCGCCTCCCTATCCCCTGTGTGTGTGTGTGTGTGTGTGTGTGTGTGTGTGTGTGTGTGTGTGTGTGTGTGTGAGAGAG